TCAAGTTGGCCATGCGGATCTTGAACTTGGACTCGCGGAGGGCCCGACGGATGTAGGCCTTCCTTCGAGACCTGCCAGCCGTGAAATCTATGCCTAAGTCCACAATGCTGTCGGCCAGTGGGCCCGTGCGGTCGCCTAGGAAAATCTGCAGCTCCCTGGCGACGGCCCCGTCCGAGCAAACGAGGTTGCCTTGGCCCGCCTTGGACAAAGAAATGGAGCAGCCGCACTCGTGGACCAGAGCCTGCTCCAACTGCCGAGAACCTTCTTTTATACCCCAAGAAACATCCAGGGCCGAACCCGTGGAGTCCAGACCCGAGTCGTCGATAAACTGAGCCAGGAAAACTCCCCGAGGAAGGTTCAGATTGCTCAAAGGACCCAGGAGATAAACCCGAACCAGGGAAGTGGCCATAGAGCAACCAGCCACCACTCCACGACGCGCGAAAAAAGGCCCAGCGACCGCCGAGGCCATGCTCACAAACCTCCCGTACCTGTAGGCAGAGACGCACAACTGGGTGATGGCCGTGGGGAAACCGAACTTACGAGCCTCAGCTACCAGTCTTTCGTGAGAAAAGTTTTCATAAAACTTAGTCATATCCCACAAAAGCATAGCCGAGACTTCCCCTTTCCTGGTGCTGAGCTCGGCTCGGGCCGCTTGCCGCCACACCGTGTCGGCCGCGCAAGCGAAAGAACTGCCAGCAAAGAATATCCTAGCATTCCTCGCTTCCCACTCCGCCGCCAGCTCCCTTCTGCATTTCCCCCAAAGTCTGTAAAGGGAAACAAACAACCCAATGGGCCGATATCCCCCCGACGCTTTAGAGAGAAGCACCACCTGAATAATCTGGAGCTGGCGCGGCAGGCTGGAGAGCGATTCGAAGATCGCAAACAGGAGGCTCACCACCGCTAGCGCCGAGTCCGACAGCCACGAGTAGTGCCTCATGTGAAACCCATCCACCGCCTGTGCCGTGGTGGCCTTGAAAGCGGCAGATGTCGACCTAATCTGGTCGATCGAAACCATGGGGAGGGGCTGACATACCCCTTCAAACAGACAGTCGGGCGCCTCAGAGCCCGCGTGCCACAGCTCGGCCCAGCCAGAGGCCTCGCTCTTGAGCAAACTTAAAGGGTCCGAAAGCACCAAACCCCCGGCCGATAAGGTCGTGGTAGCTTTCCAACCATGGGCCTCCTTGGAGGCCAGGTGGGCATTCTTTCCCCCCTCTTTGATTTTTGTGAGCAGCCAGTTTTTCCACCCCATCTCGCCGTCAAGACGAGCTTCTCCTTGAAGCTTGGTCACATACTGCTGCACTAAAACCAAAGCATCTTGAGCAGCCTCCAGCCACTCGGACTTGCCCAACTGCTGGCGCTCCCCGCTGGTGATCTTGCCGACGGGGACGGCTCGAGCTAAGGACTGAATCGTGCTGAGATACTGGTCCCACTCAACGCAGCCGACGATAAGCACGAAGGACGGGGGCTTCAACAGGGACTCCCTGGTCTTCGAGGCCTCCAGAGCTCCTTCCCTAAACTCGATGATCAGGTCCTGGAACCTGTGATACACCCACTTTCCCGCGAACAACTTGGGGTGCCTGAACGGGGGGGCCTTGTCCTTGATGATGGGAACCCAATGCAGTTGCGGTGACTTACTACGGGCACCATAGTAGGGCAGCGTGATCTGGGCCAAGTCGCAAAGCTCCCTCTCGGCCAAATCCGCCCAACGCCCATAGACCCAATCAAGCCTCTCCTGAGCCTCCGAGATCTGGCCCGAGAGCGCCGTACCTAAACACCCCTCAGCAGCGTCCTGCACCTCACCCCAGTCTGGCGGTGAGCGGCCGACCCCAATCGGCCTCTCTCTGGGAATGGGCGGTGGCTTACGGAACGTGAGCGCGCACAGCTGAGCAAGCCGAGGAAAAAGTTGCAGATGGACGGGCTTGTGCGGTGTCAGCTGCGCCACCTGCACTATGCTCGTCGACTGAATGCCCTTCGCAATGCCCCCAGTGCACACAAAATAATCCAGGAAGTTCAGACCTCCCAACGATCTGCAGGTCCCAGAGCCAGCAGGTTTGATCAGAGACCCCTCCAACTTCTCAGGGAAACCCGACTCAAGAAGGGCTTCAGGAGACATGTTCCAGTCGCCTCCAAGAATGGCCTGGTGCCCCGACATCTTCACAGTAGCCCCCGCGGTACTGAGTAGGTCGAGGTTCCTGCTTGACAAACCTTCACTATCGTGTAAGTACGCCGACAGGACCAAAAACGGCACATCCCCAGGAAGATGAACCAAGGCGTTGATGAGACGGCCAGCCGCAAGCGAGGAGCCCCACAGAGGCTCATGCAGCCCCAGGAACTCCCGCGCCAGGATGCCGACTCCCCCAGACGAGCCCTCACCTTGACCAGCAATAGCAGGGGTAAGTATCGCCTTCCATCCATGACGGCTGCACCATGACGTTGCCTCCCTCAGTGCAGTGGGCTTGACGATGTGGTGCTCTTGCAGACAAATAATGTGCGCCGTCGTGTTACTGAGCCACTCTTTGAACGAGTTCCAGCAAGTGGCATTACAGCTCTCCACGATGAGACCGAAACCAGAGGGACAGGGCGGCTCTGGGGGGGCCTGCAGAAAGTCGAAAGAGCTAGCGGCTCCGATGAGACTGGGGACCCCTGGGTGACTGGCAGCACAGGCAGCACTGAACTCACACAGAAGCGGAGGGGGGAGCCTGCCTCCAGCAGGCTCCTCAGTAGACGAACAGCAGGCCATCGACGGAGGCGCTACCGAAGCCGCCGAAGACGACCCCGATGTCCCACACGTCGTGGTCGCACTCGAAGTGAACGAGCACCCAGGCGCAGCACTCGACCGAGTAACCGAACGACCTCTCTTCGCTCCCCGCCTCGAGCCTTGAAAGTCGTCTGCCTGATGAACCCGCGCACCCGTCGGCACCGATGTCGACCCAATACAACCTGCGGGTGTCGCCGCTGGGGTAGCGCCCTCGCCCTGCCCAGAAGGCGCATGGCTTACGCCAAGAGCTTTAACGTCCCCGACCGACTGGGAGCAGGGGAACGTGGCACCCCCCATTGGCGAACCCCCCGCAGGCGCGCCCTCGGCGCGGGCCGCTCCCCCCCCATTAACCCCCTTTGGGGGACCTCTGGCCACAGGTAAGGCTGCCAGGGGCGGAGGGGGGGCCCGAGAAGTGCGCGGCGTCGATGCCGAGCAAAAAGAGGAACCACGTCTGGCCTCCGCCACAGAAGCCGAACGCGTCGTAGACCCAGACTGGAGGCCAGTCTTCGCAATATCGCAGTAGGTGAAACGCACACGACATCCCCTGGTAGTTCTGGACGAACTGCCGCCGTGTCTCAGTATACTTCTCGTATCGCTACCCACAATGCTTGGTAGCCTCTGCCTTGCCGTTGCATCCACTCGCCACCTCGGTCGCCGCTGCCACGGCTGCCCGAGCGGTGGCCTTGAGCTTCTCCGAGTCACCCTCAGCGCGTGCAGGCCCTGCAGGCTCAGCGACTTCAGGCTGTTCAGGAGGTGCCACAGGAGCCTGCGCCCCCGCGATGCCGTCCCCGTCGCTGTCTCCCGCGTCTCCCTCTGCAGTGCGCCGCTTCTTGGCCGCGAGCCGCTCCTGCATGACCTTGTGCTCGGCCTGCAGCGCCTGACCCTTCTGGCGCACCTCTCCGAAGAACGAGCCCGCCATCTGCTTGAACGATTCCAACATCTGCTTCTTCCTGGACTTTGCCTCCTCCAAGGCCGCGGGGCCGAGCTCCTCGAACTCTGTGTAGCCGAAGAGCCCGTCGTCCTCCAGGTCGATGTCGTCCAGCTCCCCGTCCATGAGCTTTGCCAGCGAGAGCTTGATTGGTTCCACTTTCGCAGGGGCCTGTCCGCTGACCCCCGCAGCCACTTCTGCCACAGCGACCCTGTACTCGTTCTCGGCCGAGTCCAGCTCCGACACCAGCTCGGAGACCAGAGCCTTCTGCGTCTCCACCTGCTCCAGCAGGTTTGCCAGCACCGCGTTCTCAGCCTCGAGCTTCCCCTTCGTCTTGCGCAGCCGAGCGTGCGCCTTGTTGGCCCTGAGCTGCGCGGGCTTTTTGTCCTCCGAGCCCTTGTCGGCCTGCTCCAGCAGCTGCTTGTACTTCGCCGCCGTCGCTTTGTCACCTGATCTCTCCGCCATGGTGACCATCGAACGCAGCTCGTCCCTGGAAAGGGCCGTGGGCGCCTCAGGCTGAGACTTGATGCGGATGGCTTCTCGGTACTTCTCGGCCATCTGCTTGTCCCCCTTCTGCTCAGCGAACACCACGAGGGCCTGCATGGCATCCACTCCGAGGTCTGGGACGTGCGATCCAGCAGCACCACCAGTCCTGCCAGCACCCCCACGAGGCGTATCACGCGCCCACGGTGGCTTGGACTCGCCCCCGTTGCGCTCCTTGCCGCAATGCTTGCACCAACGCCAATGGGCCTGGTTCTTGGCACAACGACAGTCGGCCTGCGAGCAACGCCAGAACTCGCCTCCCTCCGACCGAGGTCTCGATGGCGCGCGGGACGATGGCCTTGAGCTCCTGCCGCCCTTGCCACTGTCGCCAGCACCCATGGCCACGAGATGACCGTCTCCGTGGTGGTGCCGTAGTACGCGCCTCGCGCGCTCGAGCGCCAGGAGGCTGCGCGCGCTGGCGCGCCGCCTCCGCAGCCGCCTGTGCCAGGCGGGCGAGGGCGGCCTATGGCGGCGCCCTTCGCGCTCCGTGGTGACGCCCTCCGCCCCTGGGGCAGAAGGCTGGGGGCTCAGGCAAAACGGGCCCCCTCTGGCCCGCAGGTCTGAGCCGACCTGGAGGAGGAGGAGGAGGAGGAGGAAGAGGAGGAGGAGGAGGAGGAGGAGGAGGGAGGGAGTGGAGGAGGAGGAGGAGGAGGAGGAGGAGGAGGAGGAGGAGGAGGAGGAGGAGGGGGAGGAGGAGGAGGAGGAGGGGGAGGAGGCGGAGGAGGGAGGTAGGAGAACTGGGCCCCGTGGGCCCACCCCGACCCCCGCAGCCGTCCAGCGTGCCGCCGGGGCTGAAGGCGTGCGCGCCGTGGACGCGCGGGCCGCCCCGCGGCCCGGAGCAGGCCAGGAAGGCGGCCACCGTGCCGCCCAGGGAGTGCCCGCACACCTTCGGGGGGGCATTGCGACGACGACGACGACGACGACGACGACGACGACGACGAAGACGACGACGACGACGACGACGACGACGACGACGACGACGGACGACGGACGATGACGACGACGACGACGACGACGACGACGACGACGACGACGACGACGACGACGACGACGGACGACGGCGACGACGACGGCGACGACGACGACTATGACGACGACGACAGGGACGATGGACGAAGACGGACAGCAGCGACAACGACAACGACGGCAACGACGATGAAGACGGCGACGAAGACGACGGCAAAGACGAGAAGGCGAGGACGAAGACGACGAAGACGACGACGACACCAGAATACACGGCTACCCCACGGCCATCTCCAGGGGTGCGTTGTGACCAGAGTGTCGAAGATCGCGTGTAATCTATGGGAAGAGAGAGGAGAGAGCCGACCAAAGCCTAAGGGGGTCCATCAGAGAGGACCTTGATGTCACCGCGAATACATTTGACTGGCCACCCGCGGGACGACGACAAGACACCCTTCAGGAACAAATATCGCAAACCTTTTTTGCGAGCTCATGGACATATTATTCGTTCAAACCGTAGGCCTGAAGGCAATCAGAGAAACAGAGACTAGCGGCGGCCATCGAAACCTGAGGTTGTCTGGGAGCCTGGGGCTCTGCCGCCTGAACACCAAAACGCGCAGCCAGGAAACTCGGACTGAAAAGCTGGACCGCCACCGGCCCTGGAGACAGCCGTTCCCAACCTATTCGGCCTGATGGGATGCTTGAATTTACAGCGTGGCCTGATCCTGGGCACAGCTCCACCAGCCCTCTTACTCCTGACGAGATGGTCGCATGCCCTCGACAGGTGATGCACAACAGGAGCGGAGGCTGGACCCCCACATGCACAAGACATTGAAGCAAACAATGGCCACCCACCATCCAGGGCGCCGCTCCGATTCCGGCGCCCCCACGGAACTCTTCGAGTGATGCCCGAGCAGCAGCACGGTTCTCAGGAGAGGGGACAGGGGCCTCGGATTGAGGGGCTGCGGAAGCATAGCGCTTTCGGGGCTCCTATGAACCTGGCTCAGAACAAAACGGGAGCTCGAAAGAGACCTGGGTCAGGCATTGTGCCCCCGCATGATGACAACTCCCATCTCACTCCAATGTATTTCAAATATGGTGATCTACTTGAACAGCTCCCAGGTTAACGAGAAACACCTCCTGGCCCAGAGGAGCTCGGAAATGGCGTGCTTGGGCAGGCTGCCACCTTTCTTGGCCAAACGATCGGCTTTGTAATTTACCGCTCGCTCGAACTCAGACTAACATCCTGCCCTGGCCTCCGTCATGGACGCATGCGTCAGAACTTATTCGAACGCAGCACAGTCGAGACCTCCAGAGGAAAGGCTTGCCTCCCGAAGTGGGCCCTAGCATTCGCTGAGCTAAAAGCGTGCAACCGACTGTTACGACGCTGGAGAATGCCTGTGTCGTCAGTATGAAGCACAAAAAACATGCGCACAACTTTGACACAATCCGAAGGCACCCTTGAGGGGCCACCAAATTCCGCGGCTTAGGCTTGCTGCTCCCTGCTGCAGTTCTCATTTCCGGCCTCCAAAGTTACAATTCTGCATTCTGCTTCTTACGGTGAATTGTTGAAGTCCGCGCGAGGGGTGGGGGGGGTGAAAAGGGCCCTGGGAACCTTCAACTGGGGGGGTTCTCGAAATTTCTGGGGGGGTCCTGGAGCTCATATAAATACTTGAGAGTCGCGCCCCCGAAGCCATAATGCCTTCTAGGGTACACCGTATTCGCGCCCACGATGCCATAATCCATTGTAAATTGCAACGTGGTCGCGTCATCGAAGCCATGAACCGTCGCAAACTACGCCGCGTTCGCGCTTCCGAGACCCTAGTTCCTTATACATCATGCAGTGTTCGCGTCCTCGAGGCAATACCGTCTCGTAGATTACGCAGTGCGCACCCGGACGTCTCGAGCGGCCCCCGCTCAGAGTTCCGAGGCCGCTTCGCGACGGCGCCCAGGCCCCGCAGCGTGGCTCTTGCATGCCCCAGTCTCCAAGAGAGGGGGCCAGCGGCAGAGGGCGAAGCCCTCGAGGACAAAAACAGCGTAGTCTTCGCCATCGCACGCCACCTGATCAGGCAAGCTAGCTCGGGGCACCGGCCCATGCCATTCTACAATGCAGGCCCGACGCTCGTCGGAGATGGCGACGTCCCGCCCAGCCGTCCCGAGCTATGGGGAACAGCCCATCGATGCCAGAGCCGTCGCAACAACAAACAGATGAGCATCCGAAGGCATGAACAGCCCTGCTGAGACACCGCCGATGGGCTCCGGGGCCCCCTGGGCAGAAGCTGACAGGTGTCGGGCAAAATCCCACCAGCCCTCTGGGCGTCGGTGGTTTAGAGCGTGTCCTCTTCCACCCCTCCTTCTTCCCCTTCGGGGAGGGGTTTACCCCTCCCCCTACCCCCTCCCCACTGACCTGGACAGGGGGTTCCGCGGCGCGCTGGAGCGCCCAAGATCGACCCCTGGGAAGGCTAAAATTCGACACCCCTCACGAGGATCGTGGCTCCTGGGGGGGGCTCTAATTAAGGAACCCCTCTTCTTTGATAGATTTCCTCCACGATGGCCGCAAGAGGCCCCCAGGATGCCCCAAGAGGCCGCAGGATGGCCCCAAGATGACCCCAAGAAGCCCCCCAAGAGGCCCCCAGGAGGCCCCCAAGAGACCCCCAAGAGGCCCCAAGAGACCCCCCAGAGGCACCCAAGGTGCTCCCAGAGGCCCCAAGATGGCCCCAAGAGGCCCCAAGAGGCCCACAGGAGGCCCCAAAGAGGATCCCGAACGGCCCACAGAGGCCCCCCCGAGGCACCCAAGACGCCGAGAAGCCCCTCAGGACGACCCTCTACTCGCCTGGGCGTCGTTTCTGGACGGGCTGGTGGGGATACGCGAAGCGTCTAGAATTCCTCATGCAAGTCTATCCTTCAGTCCTTTGCTGCACCTGAAAGAAACCCCCCTCGACAGGCCTTGCAGTGGACTGCGGGGAATCTCCGCCACGCCCGATGCGAGAGACGCAGAAAGTAGTAGGACCCCATAGGGAGCCTTGGAACGGTCCTCTGCTGACGAAAGCCCCGCGCCCCACCGATCCCAACCGGCGCCCGTCCTCCAACTCCACCATTCCAAGGTGCAGCAATCCATGCAGCAGCAATCCATGCAAAGGCCAGATCAAGTCTCCCGACCACGACGTGGCCGGGCAACCCTTCACCAGTGCTGCATCGGCAGCGTCAGACGCCTTGCGCGCAGAGAACCTGGCCCCCCTGGCCTCTGGCCACGAAACCGAGGAACACCTGCCTGAGGTCCCAGGTCTGCCGCGAGGACTCCCGAAGACCCCAAAAAACCCAAGGGAAGACAAACCCAATCCTGGCACGCCAAAGCAAGAGCCGTCAGAGGCAGAGGGTTTCACCAAGAGTCCAGGGCTCGGGACAAGACGCTGCTCGCGGTGCATCGTCGAACGCAGTCGCCCGGGACGTTGTCTGGCCCCAGTCCATCTTGCAAACGCTGAGCGCGCATTCGGATCGCATCGATAGAAACTGGAACGACGGGGTCTGTTGACCGACCTCCCCCCGCGCTCAGTCAGGCCAGCTCGGGCAAGCAGCCTCTGGGAAGATCGCCTTCAGATCGCAGAGCGGCGACCCTGGGGCTCTCTTGACCCCGCCGTCGAAGGGCTCCTGGAGGTCAGCCTCCCTGGGGGACGTCGGCAGCGACCCCAACCCGAAAAACGCCGGACCAATGGGCGCTCCAGCCTATCAGTGGCCCGGCAACTTAGCCGCCTCCGCTTGGGCCTCGAGGCACATCGCCTGATGGGTGGACACTCCCCTCCCGGCCCCGTCAGCGGCGCCCCCGCCCGAGTCGCGTCGGACCTGGGCGCGCGCGAGCCATGCCACATTGCGCCCCTGAATCGTGGCCAGGCAGGCCTTGGGCGCAGGAAACAACATTTATTCCAATCGATCGGGAGGCCCCTGCAGTTCCTGCGAGGTGGTGCTGAACCAAACTGACCGATTCCCTGCGCGCAGTGGCCTCTCCTCCGGTCGAGCGAACACAAATATCATCAATCGCCCACTTCGGGGCCGCAACCTCGCAGGTTGACACAGCCTTGCGCAGCGCGGAAACTGGCGGCAGGCGGGCCAGCGAAGCGGCTCCCGAGCAGCCTGCAATGACAGTGCCATTTGGCGACGTGACTCTCCAGATCCCCCCCGTGCAAGGACGCGCGCCGAGTGGGGCGGCGCGCCGTGCAGTGCGCTCGCAACAGAGGACTGGCCATCGCTCGGACGTCCATTCCCCGTGTTTTTTGTCGGTTTCGTGGGTGGTTTTTTCGCCAGATCATCAAGGATGCTCCTCGATGGCCCTCGCCGAAAGAAAAATACACACGTCCGAGCGATGCTAAGAGGAACTGAGAAGCCAACCTGCCCTGATGCAGTCCTAAGCTCAACGTGTCTCATGCGCCCGTAAGGCGTCCGAAAATCCAACAACATCGCGCCCGGAACAAGCCCGGGAGTCTCCCGGGCAAGCGCAGAAGTAGACGTAGCACTGTGAATCCACGCATTCGTGTAGGAATCCGTGGGAATCTGTGGGCATAACACTCCCAAAACAAATCCGCTTCCTTCTCGCAAGAGGCGCGTGCGATCTCAGACTCTAGCCCACCGGGGGGAAAGACCTGTCGGTCTCGCACCCCTTGCAGGCTTTGGCCGACAACAACAAATATAATTAGAAGAGCGGACCCGAGGAAAGGTTGCTTTCCAAGGCCGTGAGGATGTCAGCGAACACCTGAACGAGCGACCTGGGAAGCTGCGACAGATGCCCGGGATAGGACGAATCCCACCCCGAAGGCGGTGGGCGGGGACACACACTCAAAGCAGCTCCGAACACCTGCTCGGCATAATCCGGAGGCTTGTTATATTCGCGCACCCAAGCGCCCATAGGCGCCTCAGAAATACGGCGATCTACGCGCCAAATCGACATCCAATCTTGGAGGGTCTGCTGCGACACTGCGTCGCGGACCAGAGGCGCGCACTTTCCCTCTTCATCGCTTCGGACAAGGCAGGCTTAGGGGGCCGAGGGGCACTTGCTGCAGCAATGGGCGACGCGACCACCCTTCGCCACAAACGACTGAACGCGCGACTTCCATATCTGAAGCCCATTCAGCCGCTTCCCCCTTGCTTCTATCGGAAACTTCAGCTTGGAGCAAGCTGGCCAGCTCCGAGGACAACCCACTAGACAGCATGCCTTGAAAACGAGATGCAGAGGTGAAACTCCCGAGGCCTTCCTCGTGCACCACGAGGGGGAAAAAAAACATCGTGAGAACGGGCCTTGCAGAAGACGGCATTCCTGTCCGAAGCCCGAAAGAAAACATGGTACACCTCCCGGCCGACACTCAGTTCTGAGGCGAACAACGCCGGTTCAAGTCCTGGCCCAAAGATGCCTTCAGGTAAACCTTCTAAACCTTGCAACCCGAAGCCCTGCCTACGTGGCGCTTCGACGGCAGTGTGTGCAATTCTGACAAATACTTCCCAGCGTCGTCAAACCATCTGGAGGCTGCCTCCAGGGGGCCTCCGCGTTGACTTCCCTAGACGCCCCAGAATCAAACGACTGCCAAACTCCTCCTCCACCTGCTCCTCCGCGTGGTGCAGAAAAGGAACGGCCGTGGGTGCAACGCGCTTCCAGACCTTGACCCGACCAGCCAGGCCTCGCACCCCACGAACCGCACGAGCTGATGCGGGCTCGTGGGAGAGTGCCCTCCCGAGCCTCGCAGCTCTTGGCGTAAAGACCATAGCAGCGGCCCAGGTCGCCTGATCCCCGCCGGGCCGACGTCGGGACCGCCACCACACCCGAGGCAGCGGCCTCTGCATCTTTAGTGGCAATAGCCTTAAGTCAGGCCTGTCCCCCTACAGGGGGATTTTCGACGAAAAATATAAATACCCCAGGACTGCCCCAAAAAGGTCAAACAATACTCAACAAATAATCCCCAGACTATTCTTGGACTGCGTTAGATTATTTCTGGGGTAATTTGTATTTTTCATCGAAAATCCCCCTGTAGGGGGACAGGCCCGCCTTAAAAATAGCCGAACCAAGCGAACGCACATATCCTGCTGCCCATGCTCACGAACCAGGAGGCCCCCGCCTGCCTGCCGATGAGAGCCCCGCCTCCTGGGCAAAAAAGCTATGTCGAAGACCGCTGCGCGCGGGCCCTCCTGAGCCACTCCAAGAGACTTCCTGCCCGTCAACAAAGCATTGCGCTTGTGCGCGGCGATCCCTTTGGACGCCCGGAATGGGTACGGAAAAAAAGGGGTACAATGCCCAACACCAAACGTTGTCCCAACCCGACAGCGGCCGCTGTTGGGCAGGTGGCCTCCTGTCTCGAATGGACACAGGCCGCGGCGGCGTGGACAGCGATTCCTGTTCAGAATGAACAGGAACTGCTGTTGGGCATTGTACCCATTCTTTCCGTATTCATGTCGGGCGTCCAGAATCACCAGCTCGAATCGCGTATCTTACTGAGAAGAAACTCTACCCAACTCACGCTCAGTATTCTGACTCTGAACCGAAACGCTCGCCATCGTCCTGGCTGCAACCGAGCCGCACATCCTTGTCGCCTCGCCTCCAACAAGGGTCCCCAGGATGCTGGAGCCTCCCATGGAGGGGGGCGAATGCCAGCAGCGGAACCGCTGCGGTCGCGCCACCACCCGCCACTGTGTGCCGCAGGGTAGGGTGGCGTCGGTGAGTTGGCGGCCGAAAGACGGGCTGCGTGCTCCTTCTCAAAGGCCAGCCTGGCCCGAACCACTCTGTCCTGGTCTGGCTGCTGGGGACGTTGTCGGGGACGGAAAATCCACTCGAAGCCGAGCCACAACCCTTAGGAGCACCGTCAGTGGGCGCCTCGGCGTCGGGGCCCCTGCAGTCTCCCGCGGGCCCAAGATCTCTATCAGTTCCTCCCTTCCTCTTGGCGGCCAGGCGGGCCTTGAGCTTGGCGCGTTCGTCTCCCATGTTTGAAGCCTGCTTGGCCGCAAGCAACTTGCGCGCAGCATCTTGTAGTCCCGTCAATGAAAACCTTCCGTCGCGGTTCCGCTGTCTCCATCTCCTGTATGTCCAACTCTTCACCGCATACGGGATCCAGAACCGTACCGAAGCCGATCGTCATGCCGACAAGCTTGCCCTCCAGCAGCGCCGCCAAAGTCAGCTGCTGCTGCAAGCCAGGGGCGGCAACGAGGCCCGCGAGACCCCCTCTCCCCCCGAAGCAGCCGCCTGGGCGAGCGCGTCGTGGGCATTACCGAAGGGGATCAGTTTGCCTTTCGAACTCACAGACCCACGTTCGGTGGAATTCGATATGCTGCTGCCACTCGAGGCGCTGGTCCAAAACCTTCAGAATTCGGCCTGCTTGCTGATCGAGCTGGCGACGAGCTTCAGCCAGGCGGGGCTCCACCGTCTTAGGGGGGGGCCCTTGCTAAGCTCCTCTAAATGGTTCTTGCACGCTGATTCCATCTTCTGTCCTGACTTGATGGCTGCCGAACCCATCGCTTCCAACCTCTGAGACGTGAGATCCAGGATATTGGGTTCAGCAGTGGCGGGCGGACCAGCAGACCAACAAGAGTCGGACTCGATGGCGATCTCTGTGACCATGGGCGACTTTGATCTCCACGAGCCGCAGTGCCTGCACCAACGGAACGAGTGAGGTTCTCTCCAGAATCGCAAAGGAGGCATTTCCAATGGGCTTTGAACTCTTCATCTGGCCAGCGAACCCAGGGCTTGTAGTCGAAGCCCCAGGAGCAAGGACGAGAGAAATTCATCGGGCCCATCGTGCTGGGCATGCGTGTGTCAGGAATGTAATCGCAGTTCTGCCTGCCACGCGCGGCAAAGCCGCAGTACCAGTAGACGGGGTGAAGCGGTGAAGGCATCCGAGGCCTCGAAGTCCCCTTGCCAAGAGATCCAGCCCCCGAGCGAAACACAACGGACTCGAGACGAAACGGCAACGGACCAGAGTGTCGAGGAGAACCCCGTCCGTGGCGACGAGAACTCTGCAGGACGAGCGGCGAGCAGCAGCCGTACCCGCGCCCGCGCGGTCAAGACTCCCGAGCACAACTCCGCGGATGCGCGGTCGCACGGAGAAGCCCCGCGCAGACCATGTTCTTCGCCCAAGAAGCATACTACAGGGCAGTTTGTAAGACATGGGATTAAAACACACATATATAATTTAAGTTTGACGACATGATTGATGTATGAATAGATCTATGCATGAACTCATCGCTGTTTTTCATACTAAACCCCTGCATCTTTAATACATGAACTGCACGCGGAGCATGTATCAAAAACGGCATTGTAACCCGGCCGTGGCGACGCGAGCTCTGCAGGACCGAGCAGGGGTATTTGGTGCCCTTTCCCCCGCTGCTCGCCGTGACCCTGCTGCACTCGTGGCACGCCGCCTGCGCCTTGAGCGCCTCCCGGGCGGCCCTGGCGCGCGCCGAGACGGCCGCCAGGCCGGAGCCGAGCGCCAGGCACGCGTCCTGCCGCAGGTCTCCCACGTCGCCGGCCACGGTGCCGCGCTCCGCGAGGACCAGGTGGCCGCCCGCGGGCCCGCGGCAGTGCCAGAAGCCGCGCCGCGCGTCGCCGCCCACGTAGGCGTACCTGCTCTGGGGCACAAGAGGACAGCGGGCGCCCTGCTGGGAAAGACACATGTCACAACAGTGGAGACTGCATCGTCGCAGCCGTGGGTTCCACCCACGGTTTCTTGCCTTCCAGATCTCTGTTCGACGTAGGGCCGCGCACGCGGCCGACTTGCAACGGGCCCTGCTCTGAGGCGCACGACGACAGCGGGTCCCTGGATGGAACTTGGGTGAAGTCGGGCCTGTCCCCCTACAGGGGGAGTCTCGATGAAAAATAAAAAATGCTCCAAAAATAACAACAACAAAAAAACCATCTGGGGACTATGTTTGGTTTATTTTGTTTGACCTTCTTGGTGCATTTTGGGGGAATGTTGTACTTTTCGTCGAAAATCCCCCTGTAGGGGGATTGTCGACGACAAATAGAACATACCCCACAAATAATCAAAAAATAAGCCAGAAACAAGATGGGGACGATTTTTGGTGTATGTGTTTTGACCTTTTGGGGGTATGTTTGGGTAATGTTGCATTTTTCGTCGAAACTCCCCCTGTAGGGGGACACGCCCGACTTAAAAGCTTGGGGGTCCCTGGATTCTGCCGCGCCGCTCCGCCGCCTTCCCCGGGCCCCTCGGCGGGGCCTCGCAGGCGGCACCTTCAGGCGCGTACGACCCGAGGAGGGACCATTGGCCCTGGGGAGGGAGAGAGGGAGGAGAGAGGGAGGAGGAGGAGGAGGGGGAGGAGGAGGAGGAGGAGAAGGAGATGAGGAGGAGGAGGAGGAGGAGGAGGAGGAGGAGGAGGAGGAGGAGGAGGGAGGAGCGAGGAGGAGCGAGGAGGAGGAGGAGGCCGAAGAGGAAGAGGAGAAGGAAGAGGAGGACGGGGAGGTCCAACCCTCCTGAAGCCGTGATTCCTTGGCTCACGCCGCGGACCGCAAGAACCTCGACCCCTGCCCTCGGGCCGACCGCTCGCCCTGGGCCGTTTCTTGCCAGGGGCCCGCCGAGATGGCCAACAAAAAACTTCCCGCCGTGGCTTGCTCTCGCAGAGCGGGGAGGTCTGGGAAGCCCGCGGGGTCTGAAGCCCTCCCGTCGCCCGTCCTGGGGGGGCGCTGGGGAGAGCACTGCCCACTTGCCCCCCCCCCCCACTCTCCCCCCGCAGTGCCTCCTCCTCTCCTTCGCCTCGCTCGGGCATGATCCTTCCTCAAACCCCTTCCCCCTCCTGCTTCTCCTCCGCGGTGACGATGACAAAGACGCCGTGGCGACCACACGCGCGCATGCAGACGGAGTCAGGAAGAGGGAGGGAGGCGAAGCAAAGGGAGGATGCACGCAACTCCTCCTCCCTCCCTCCTCCCTCCCCCCTCCCTCCCTCCCTCCCTCCGTCCCTCTCCGTGCCGAGGCACCACCGCACGCAGGGGGGCGCCGGCTCCGCGCCAGGCGGGCCGCGCTCGCCGTCCAGCACGGCGAGCGCGCCCCGGCGCTCCCCGCACGGGGCGTACACGAGGGCGCAGAGGTGTAGGGGGCCACATGCGAACCCTACCCCTACCCCCCACGATTTCTGAGGGGGAGGGTGGGGTTCACTTCACTCGGGAGCTCCCGAACGAAGTGAACCCCACCCTCCCCCTCAGAAATCGTTGGGGGTAGGGGTAGGGTTCACGTCTGGCCCCCTAGAGGTGGGCGTGCAGCTGCTCCTCGGCGCTGCCCAGCGCGGCGAAGGTCCCTCGGGGCCCGGGCGGCTCTTGAGGCCTCCCAAGCGGGGTCCGAGCAGGTGGGGCCGGAGGATCGCGCCGCATCGGCGATGCATCGGCACATCGAGCCGCATCGCCCATGCATCGGCGATGCGGCGCGATCTTCCAGCCCCATCCGGGAGGCCTCGGAGGCCCAGACCACATCCCCGGGTGCTGCCAGAAGTGGTCCTGGCCCGGGGCGCTCGCAGCTTGGCGGTCCACGTCAGGGCGGGGCCCTCCTGGCCTCGTGAGGGGTGTGTGGGGTGGGGTGGGGTGGGGTGGGGTGGGGGGGGCGAAAGCGAGAGGGCGGGCTTCGCTTGCGAGCAAGCGGCGGGGCTCCTCAGAGGCGCTGCGGCCTTCTGAGGAGCACCCTGTGTCTTCGGCGGAATATTCGAGGCATCTTGAAGCAGGGCTGAACCTAAACGGTGCTTTTCGCTTTCGTCTTGCTTTCGTTTCCCTCGCTTCTGTCTCGACTCTGCCATTTACCGCAAAACAGTATCGAAACGAACACGGCCCACGAAACCACCCAAAACACCGGTTTTAGGTCCAGCCCTGCCCTGAAGACTGTGGGAAGGCCCGCCCCCTCGGCCTGCCCCCTCCTGGGCGCGCCGCCGACAGGCGGATCCTGTCGGGAGGGCCGGCTCTCTGGACCGTGCCCTCGGGCTCCGGGCGCTCTTCCCCGCCTCGAGGAGCAAGGAAAGGCGACGACAACACCTCCAGGGCGAGGAGGTGCGAGGAGGCAAGGGGGGTCTCCCTGGTGTGGTGGTCCCCCCCTCTCGCTCGAGGCATCCCCAGCCTCCAGCTCCGGGTGGCATCGTGGGCCTCCTGGCTGGAGGTGGCCCCCCTGTTTGTGTTGGTGTCGCTTCTCCTCCATCCGAGCCTCGGGGATCGCTTATGATATGTTGTTGAAGCGGAGAAAGGGGTCGAGATCCCCGCGGGTGGCCGGTGAGGATCCTTAGGGCGCCTGGTCTGTCCCGTCGCGGCCCTGTCCGTGTCGAATCTGTGTCGAATCCGTGTCGGACTCGTCAATCCGTGTCGGATCCGTGTCGGATCCGCGTCAAATCCGTGTCGAGTTCGTATCGAGCTCGCGTCGGGCACAAGAGAAGACACCAATTTGGGGGACAGGCGAGTTTCCCCGAAGATGCACCATACGACACGATGAGATGAAGGGAGGGTTCCCAAGAACTACCCTATCATCCTGAGCCGTTGTTTGACGGCCATGGGGCCTGCTGAGGGCACAAGGGGGGCAGAAGCGGCAACAAAAAAAAAGGTGCAGGCGCACAGCTTTCCGACGACGTGACCTTTACCCATGCGCGGCCCCAGAACTCCCGACCCCTTCCCCCGATGCAGCGTTTCGCAGGGATTGACCAGAAAGGTGCTGTCCGTCCACGAAATCGCCACAACACCGTGCAGGTTCAGGCCGGGTCCGGACATCAAAGGGGGTCGCCGCGGCGGGGCTTCTCAGAAGGCGGCGGGGCTTCTCAGAAGGCGACGGGGCTTCTCAAAAGCCCCCCCCTGGCCTTCTGAGAAGTTCTCTGCACATTCAGGGGAGGCTCGGCCTCAGAAGGCCCGAAGCCTTCCGAGCCTTCTGAGACGGCCCGCAGGAGGAGGAGGAGGAGGAGGAGGAGGAGGAGGAGGAGGAGGAGGGGAGGGGGAAGAGGAGGGGGAGGAGGAGCAGGAGGAGGAGCCAGAGGGGGAGGAAGGGAGGGAGGAGGAAGAAGAGGAGGAATCAGATCGCCAGATACCTGAGTGCCCCGAGCATGCTGCGACGTCGGAAGGGGCGGGTGGCTGGGTCGGGCGCACTGGGGAGGGCTAGCAACGGGGGGGCGGTTTCTCGCGAATCCTGGGGACGACGACAGGGGCGCATCGCCCAAGGAGGAACACAATCGCCGCCGGGCCAGTCACCCCTGCCGTCGCCGCCGAGACATTGAGCTCGCGTACGTGGCCGATTCTGCCAGCGCCTCCCGGCGCCGCAAGCACCCGTGCAGCCAGGAAAGCGCCCGTCGGCGGGGCCGGAACCAGGTGCAGGCAGCAGATGTCACATCCCGCCCCCTTTCCCCATCCCTTACCAGCCTGGAACATATCCCTATCCCTATGCTGGGCATCGCCTCATCACGATGCCAATCTTAGGGATTCCCTTTTCTTTTTTGAGGGCGAATCCCTAAGATTGTCATCGCCTTTTGGCGTGTCAGTCTTAAGGATAGGGACACGTTCGAGGCTGCTGAATCCCCCCCCCCACTCGTCCGAACCTTGCCATCGCTCGGACGTCCATCCCCAGTGCAGTTCTCGGTGCCGCGCGTGCTCCCCGCAGGATGACCCAAAATGCTGCCCGATGGTCCTCGCCAGGAAAAAGTACACACGTCGGAGCGATGCCAAGGGCCCGAGATGAGCATAGGGGAAGCGGGTCCTGAGGGAAACGGGTCCTGGACCCTGGCGCCTTCCCCAAAGAGTAGTTCTTCGTTCTTCGTCCGGAGTTCTCTTCTGACAGTCCCGGGGCCCGTGGAGGGCATGGCGAAAAACCACAGGACCCGTCTCCCTCAGGACCCAGCTCCCCCCATGGCGACCCCCCGCGGCGCCCGACGCGGTCGCGGCCGGGAGCGAGCTGCGGGACCGCCGCTGCAGCGCCACCTCCGCGAGCGAGCACACGGACGACGCGCCGACCTTCAGGGCGCCGCGCCGCAGGTTGTCCCTCACCTCTCGGCGCAAGGGAGGGCTCGAGGGCCGAGCTTCTCCTCCTCCTCCTCCTCCTTCTCCTCCTCCTCTTCCTTCCCCTCCTCCTCGTCTTCCTCTTTCTCATCCGTCTTTCCTCGAACACCCCTCCCTTCCTGTTATTATTATTGTTATTATTGTTATTACTACTTCTATTACGATGTTTATTAATACTATTACTTATTATTGTCAATAGTATTATTCATCCTCCTCACCATCATCACCATCACAATCACCATCACCACCACCACCACACATATCATCATCATCATCATCATCATCATCATCATCATCATCATCATCATCATCATCATCATCATCATCAGCATCAGCATCAGCATCAGCATCAGCATCTTCTGACTCTTCATCCTCATCGTCATCATCATCATCACAGTGACAATCACCATCATCATAATCATCATCAGCATCATCATCATCAGCAGCATCGCCACTACCATCGTCATCATCATCATCATCATCAGCAGCATAAACATCAGGATCACCAGCAGCATCATCAACAACAACCTAATCCGAATCATCCTCAAAATCATAATCAACGTCGCCACCACCATCAGCATCATCAGCATCAGCAGCAGCATCATCATCCTCGTCAGCATCATCATCATAACCGTCTGCAGCATCATCAGCATCAGCATCAACATCAGCAACAGTATCATCATCATCAGCATCTCCATCAGCATCATCATCACCGCCATCATCATCATCATCATCGCAATCAACATCGCCATCACCACCACCACAACCATCATCATAATCATCATCATCATCATCATCATCAGCATCAGCATCAACATCATCATCAGCAGCAGCAGCAACAGCATCAACATCAAGCGCATCATCGGCATCGTCGTCATCATCACAATCATCATCACCATCATCAACCTCATCGTCATCAACATCGTCAGCACCAGCATCGTCATCGTCATCATCGCCATCATCAGCATCATCACCATCATCATCGACATCCTCATTATCATCGTCATCATCAGCATCGTTCTCATAATCATCGACATCCCCATCCCTCTCATCATCATCGACATCATCATCATCATCATGATCATCATCGTCATCATGATCACACTTATCGGCCTCATCAACCTCATCATCAACATCAACATCCTGGTCCTGATGATCGCCATTGCCCTCATCACCACCAGCCGCATCATCATCATAACCTCATCTTATCTCCTCCTCCTCTTCCTCCTCCTCCTCCTGCTCCTCGCGTGCTCCCAATGTGCCCTCTTCCCTCGCTCTTCCTCCTCCTCCTCCTCCTCCTCCCCCTTCACCTCCTCCTCCTCCTCCTCCTCCTCCTCCTCCCCCTTCACCTCCTCCTTGTCCTTCTCCGTCGTTCTTCCTCTCTTCTCTCCTCTCTGCCTCTCCTCTTCCGCAGTTGTCCCACCCTCATCGCATCCAGCTCGAGCGGGGCAGCTTTTTCTCCCGCGTGCTGTTTGAAGCATAAAGGACTACAAGATGTGGCTATCCAAATGGTTCGTTGCAATCCGAACGCTTCCAGTGTTTCAACATGGCATTGCCGCTGCGACGTGGCGTGACTTTGGGATCAACGCTGTGTTCTCGTCGTTCAAGATTGCGCTATGGCCCAAGCGCGGACCACAATTCTGGATCCGAATGTCTCCTTGTCGTCGTCGCCCGGTCCCTCTTCCCTCCTCCGCCTTCCACTGGTCGTCCTGCTCCTCCCGCTCCTCTTGTTCCCTGCTCGTGCTGCTGCTGATCCTCCTCCTCGTCCTCATCCTTCCTCATCCTCATGCTCTTTCTCCTGGTTTTCGTATGAGGTATACGCTGTACATCTGTGTAGACAGAATAATAAGAGAGTAGCAGAGCATGCACTGCATTATAATAACGAGCGGAAAACGAAGAGCAGCCCCGACCGTACTGTCCTTTGGCCCAAGCCGTGATAGGACCCTTGAGTCACCAGCGCAGCGGTGTGAAAACATCCCGATGTTATTCGTTATTATCTTTCTTATTGCAATCAGAGTCTTCGAGGGCTTTGATAAGTTCATATTGGAGGCGGAGCCTGGTTCACCAGGCTCACGTTTCGACCTTCCAAATCCCAACGACGTTTACATGAAAACGTTCGACCAATCAACAAGCTTCGGTCACGGAAACCACTCAGCGGCCGATTTCACAGAGATCCCGCGGTTGAGCTTCGACAACCCGTTGCTTTTCGATTTCATAGACCAGCCTGCCGGAGATTTCGGAGATGTCTCAAGGCGGTTCACATTTGATTTCATAGACCCCTTGTAGTTCTATTTCGGCCAGATGGCGAAGACGGCGATATCATCGGACATTCTACCAGAGCGAGGAGTTCCACAATTCGACGGCACCCTCAGCAAATGGAAGGAGTCCGAGAAGCGGGCGATGATCTTCACAGCGAAGCTCTCGCTGGAGAAGAAAGAAGGCGAAGCGGCTCTCATGCTCAGAGCAGGTCTCACCGGCGATGCATGGGACGAAGTGGAGGACCTCTCAGCGGACGACCTCATCAAGCCGAACGCGGCGAAGCTACTCATTAACAGGCTACAGAAGCGATTCAAGACGGACGGTCGCACCGAGCTCGCAGACGATTTCGAGGAGTACGTCTACAAGCTCGAGAGGTACAGGGGCGAGACGCTCTTCGCCTACCTCTCGCGAGTTGGAGCAGCAGAGCGGAAGCTCAAGACGCACGACATCGAGCTACCCGCCAAGGTGCGAGGCTGGTTCACGCTACAACGCAGCGGCTACAATGCGGACCAGAAGGCAGCCATTATGTCGGTGGCCGGCAAGGACATCACTCAGGACAAGAAGATCGAGGCGCTGGAGACCACCTTCGGGCAGGAGAGCACTATCCACGAGCCGAATCACGCACGGAGACAATATTTCGTCGAGAAGGAAAGAAATTACTACTACGAAGAAGAAGAAGCTTACATTGTCGAACCAGAGGACGAGCCAACGGACGACTACGAGCAGGAGTACTGGGCGGAGGACGATGACACGTGGTACGACTGCGACGAGAACTACTACCAACGCGAGTCCAGTGCGGCTCACGAGCTCGACCCCAGTGAGTACGACGAGGTGTATGCGGCCTACGCGGACGCCAGGAAGCGTTTCAACGACCTGAAGTTAGCACGAGGGTTCTACCCAGTCGTGGCGATGGTCGGAAGCGGATCAAGTTCAACTGCAGCACCGGTTGGAGCCACTGGCAGCCGAGGCAAGCCAAGCAGCAACGGTCCCAAAGGACGCGGAAAAGAAAAAGGAAGAAAGGGCAGCCAAAAGGGTTCATCACCACCGGGCGCCTATGTGAGAGCAAGACCAAACAGGCCAGACCCAATGGGACGAGCCAGGGCAGCTACACGGCCAGCTCCCACATCGACACCATCGGCCAACTGCCTGCGGTGCGGGAAGCCAGGCCACTGGGCCAGGGACTGCATCGAGCCTCCGAACAAGAAGAGGTGTTACCCCGACGAGAGCCTCATGGTTGACGGGGTCTACTGGGACGGGAAGGCAAACAGCAGCAGTGCGATCCCAGACAGCAACGGAGTCATGGACTTTGGAGCCACCACGCTATGTCGGGCTCGGAGACGGTCAAGGACTACGTGGCAGACTGCAAGCAGAAAGGCTACTTCATCCAGGACCTCAAGTTCTACGAATGTCGAAGGCCATTCCGATCCGGAAACGGTAAGGTCGAGTACGCGCAGTGGTGTGGAACCATACCTGCCAGTTTCAAACAGAAGTCAGGGACGCTCTGCATCTACGTGGTACCGGGACGAACTTCAATCTTATTTCCCAGGCCATTGCTTGAGGAGTTCGAGGTACAAGTTGACTGCTCCAAGCAGATGGTGTCCTGGAACGTGGGCGAGTTCGAGGCAGCCACCCTCTCTCCCCAAGGTGACTACACCGTGGACCTGCTAGAGGAGATGGACGAGGACACGATTCACCAGAGGATCGATATCGAGTTCGAGCCAACCGACGCAGCTCAGTTCCTAGATCCCAGCAACGAGACGATGAGAGGCCTGGAGTCTCTGGACAACGTCTACATGCCGGACTCCAGAAGCGACGGCAAACAGTGGGAGCAGGCTCTACAGCGACCTCATTCCGAAGCATGTCCCCGACGAGTGGTACAGTTAAGCTGCTGCGGATCCTACATGAAGCAGTGGGAGTGTCAACAGCACACTTCCTATGAAAGCTTGTGTTTTACTACGAAATCCATCGAGCCAGTCGATCGGAGACCTGGTGGTGTCTACAGATACCGCCCTCCGACGAGATCAGGCTCAGCACCGACGACGGCAACCTCAGTGCCATCCAGCAGGCCACGACCAGCTTCATCCAGAAGATCGACTCTCAAGTAAAGCACGCCAGCGACCAGCACCTGCAGACGCTGTGACGAGCAGCTCACCAACGATGCACGAAACGACGCACGGTTTGAGAGGTCTACGCAAGAGAGGCCAGACTCTCACAAGCACTCCGTGACCTAGGAGCGCGCGTGGAGACCTTCGGGCTCAGTGCCGGATGGAACTTCGCCAAGGAGGACCACCAGAAGGCGTTTCTGAAGAAGCTTCAGGAAGAGCAGCCCGACGAGGTCCACCTCTCGCCTACGTGCGGGCCCTGGTCCAACATGCAGGAGCTCAGCATCCACCAGCATCCCGGTTGGAAGGAGTATCGCACCGACCTACGAGAGTGGCATCACCGAATACATCTACAGTTTACGGCCAATGTCTATCGCATCTAGCAGGAGGCAACTGTCATGCAAATATTGAAGATCTCGCCACGTCGAGGGCTTGGCACACCGTGGCATTCAGCAGCTTACACGGCGAGTACGCCAGGTTCGGCCAGTGCATGTATGGTCACGAGATCGAGGGCAGCAGCAACATGGTCAACAAGCCTACGATGATCAAGACGACCAAGAAGCTCATGGCCACTATCCTCAGCGAGCGATGTGATCGCTCTCATTGACACGACCTACTCGAAGGAAA